GAGTGTAAATGTTAAATGCAAAAGTGGCAGTAGAGTATTGTAATGTTACGACGAGATATATGAAGTTTCTGAGAGGCGCACGTCGGAAAGGATCGTCGTTGTTTAAATGGTAATTACTTTCAACTTGATACAAATTGAACGAGACTGTTGTAATGTTCCACTATTACGTAGTTGCTTTTGTGAAAACTGGACATATATGTAGCAAGTGAGAATATATATAGCGACTTTATATATTTATAACAATTGAAATTTTGTAAATGTTTGAATTGCTACGATAACTTTGTTAGCTCTCGACATTTCCAATTGTGTAAATTTTATTTATTTTATCGCGATTTTATATCGGGATTTTATTGGATTGTTCTTAGGATTACTTTGGATCCCGCGGACTCGTTTGCAAAATTGATCTATTTTCCGACGTAGACACGAGCCTAAAGTACGAATGGATCTGTTTGAGTGATCTTTGTCGCGTCAAAAGATTAAACGAAATAAAGCGCAAGACAAACTGCAACAGCGACACATCAACATCACGACATGTGTATATTATTATTATTTACAATTACAATATGTTCGTTGACTATTATGTTAGAAATAAAAACTACATGAAAAAGCGATATATATATTAAGTGAACTATCAAGCCATTCCATCCTAATTCTAATTTTCTTCCGCTTTTTTTCCTTATTGTTACACATGTTAGTGATCGAATAAAAATCATATAATCGTTATCGTAAAAATATTAAATAAAAGGTTTAATCCTAATAAATAATATACTTGTCAGAAATATTTTCACAGATTGAATAATGTTGTAAGCTCGTCATTCAAATGCAAACTGCTAACATATATAACATATTACAAAGTAAGAACCTATAATTTTTCTCTCTCTCTCTCTTTCGTCGTTTACTTTTATTTGCATTACTCTGTCTACGTATATTCCTGTTCATCGGTTTTATCCGTATCGTTCACTTTTATTCGTACTGTCTTGTCATCGAGCTGATCTACTTTTAATTCATCATCATCGTCGTTAATATAATCAATATCTCGCGGAATATTTATGACATGCTCACGCTTACGTGAACGAGATTTGCTTTTCTCTTTTTTCGATGGAAGTTGTATGACTATGATATACGGCTTGTCATCATGAGACGTCTCGGCCGAATCTTCGTAATACGGTACATATCTATAAAAATAATTAAAGCTAATATTAGTAATGAAAATAAAAACAAGATTTTTAAATATAAACATGATAATATTACCTGTGATAGTGCGGATGGTCATAGTGAGATTTATGCGATGGCATTCTTTTGGGATGATAGCGCTTCCGGGGTTTCGAAAACGGATGCCATCTTGGTGGTCGCCAGGGTTGAGGATGGTAATATTTGTACGGCTTAATAATTTTGTAGGTTTCAATAAATTCCACTAATTCCAACATTACGCCAAAAAGTCCGATAATCACATACAGCTGAAAATTATCAGCGCATTACGATTTAATTAGTTTTCATAATGAAAATCGTTCATATTGTTAATTAATATTAATTAATTAACTTACCTTCATTTTCTCATATATAATATATTTTCCTTAATTAAGACAAATGTGCCTCCAATGCATTCATACAACTCGCGTTAATTAAATTATTGATTTAATTAAATAAACATGTAATTGACTTGCATCGGGTCGGAATGACAGCTTAAAGGTTTTCTATCTTTTCTCCAGCTATTCTTTTATCTGCAAAATAGCAGAAAATAATTGTCACCTTAGCACTTTTCGTAAAACAATTATTATAATTTTTGTTTTATTTATCTCGATAATTTTGCATTTAATAATTCCGATATCACACATTTAAAAAAAACTCACAATTTAAACTTATTAGATATCACTAGATTCTTGGATTCTAAGATCACTCGCGGTGCAGGATTGGAATTCAGGACACGTCAATCTTCATTCGTTACTAAAGGATTTGATGAAGAGATACATTTGCATGGTTGGACGAAACTTGAATGAGACTGAAAACTCGAAAGTCTTCGAGTAGGAGGCTTTCTTATATCTTCCCTTCCATCTCTCCTTGAATCGCCTAAAGCAATATACGTTCTTATTGTCATATTGTTATAGTTCATAAATGGTGGTGCTACAATAAAATTGATTAAAATTTATTTTTTAATAAAATAAAGTTTGTGACAAAAAAATACATACGAAATGTATTTATTATTGCGTAATTAAACAAATAAATAGATTTATTGTTTTATTTGTTAAAAAATAAAAATTATTTTATCTATTAATTCATCTGTGAAGAAAATTACTTATCAAAAAAAAGTTAAAAATATATATCCGATAAATGGTACATACAAAGCTTGGCATAAAAAAATAAAAAATATTGTTAAATATCAATAATTTAAGAAATGAAAGATAGCATTTAAGCAATGAGCCATGTGAATAAATTGCACGCTTGATTTACATAGCACAAAATAGATACTTTCAATTGTAATTAAAAAATAAATAGATGCTTTCTTCTAAGAATTCTATATTTTCTCTATGACCTAAATTTTTTTATGAAATATATATTTTTTTCATGTATCCGTAGATAATTAAATCGATAAAAAAAATACTAGATAAAAATGATTTTATTACAAAAATACCTGCAAAAATTTTTATAAATTTTTATAAAATTGATACACATTATAAATTGTCTCCGTACAAAATCTCGAAATTTTATTTTCTACAGCATGAATTGATACTAAAATGTTATTCGTAACATATATATGTTATACATATGTAGGCATACATAGCTCTGAGAAAAGTGACACATAGAAAACGTATTTATACCATGAAATAGCTATAGCTGATGAGGCATAAAATTAATGAAACTAGCGAAGCTTGAGAGGAAAGTGAATGAGGACGTCCATAAAGATACTTTCAAGATACTTTCGACAACTAACATATGTATAATACACGTGTGCATTTACTTTCAAAGATTTCTTCGAGCTATCAAAGTGCTCAACAAAACGATGACGTTGCTATTTTGTCAATACCATCCAATACCACCATAAGCTTCGAGACGCTGAGAATTTTCTCTCGCTTATTATAAAGGAAGACTTAAGTCGCTGCGCAAACATCTTTCAGTTAAAAATTTAAAGACATTAATATTTTTTACAGATTTTTATTCAACTCATGGAAGATTTTGGAACGTAATTATAACATTACGGAATGTATTGTTACACTTACATTCGTATTAACATAGATACGTGCCATACAAACGGTTTATACTGTAGAAGTATAATATATAGATTTTATTATTGCATATTATTGTTTCTCACAATTTTTTGTTGAATAATCATTACGGGTAGAATTACGAATCATAACAAATTGTAACGAGTCCACCTAATTAAATAATTAATTTATAACTAATTATTAATTTAGCTAAGAATTTAATTTAATCAATTGAAAGTTATATATAATTAATTGCTTCAACAAAGTACATCGTTTTAAGAAAATGTATCATTCATGTATAAAAAGCGTATATAAATGTCTAAATAAGTACAAAATTATGTAAATTAAAGCTAATAGTGCATTTTATCTACACCTAGCTTACTTCTTATCGTACGACCATACTTTCGCTTTAAATTCACGATTAAGTATAGTACTTTATGCTTCGAAGAATGCACGAATATTAGTCGACGTGTTTTAATCTCCTCAGCACTTTTGGTAGTAGATGTTGCTTTATTAAAATATTCCTATCTTAAAAAAGATTTTCGAAACAGCAGCATAGAATACTTAAAAAATCTAAATTTAACTTTATTAACTGCTTGTAATAAATATAAATTTTCGGCTTATAAAATTCTTATTTAATTATAGATAAAAAATATGTTTACGAAAAATAAAAAATGCATGAGGTATATAAAAATGGAAAATTGTATGGCGATGATAGAGAAGTCTTTGGAATGAGAAACGGCTGGAGAAAAATAATTTAATAACGGAATAAAACACATTAAGTGTAATTCATATAACGTTTCGCATATGGTAATGCAATCGCCGCGATGATATTAGCAATTGATGGTGTTTCGAGTACTACGAAAAATACTACAGTAATTTTCATTTCACGACAGCACTTGAATACTTCCTATAAGCAATAATCGCGTCGTATTGAATCCGTTGAACCATACTCTTTCGACAAAGAACTTAATATCGCTCTAATAAACAATTATAGAATACTTAAGTCTACCACTTTTTATCACATGCACCTTCTCTATTTGTTGCGTCTACTTCTAAAAGATACCTAGGCCATAATAAAATCAGCCAGCGCCTTTCTTCGACAGTCCACGCTTAATTCAGTTGTCCGACACTGTCCAAATCAATTGAATCAAACAAATCCTATTTAGAATGATTGTACCATAATTACATTTAAACGAATTAGACAGTATTCATTGTACACTATACATTCGTCTCTTGGAACTCGGTGCAGTCAGTGGGCTTGATCTCCAGCCACCAGTCGTTGGGATAGTGATACTTTTGTAATTCTATGCCTTCTCGAGGCACGGGCATCAGTCGGCCGCCAAATTGTTTCGCCGGCAAGGGAGGTATTACCAGTTGCGGTGGGAAGCACTGTAGACTCGGCGAAAACTCGCAATCCGGAGGTAAAACTCTTCTGGTCCAGCCGACCCTCCTCACCATCTGCGTCTGGAAGCATTATATCAAGAGCTAAACTTGCTCGAGATCGTTTATAACGACCCCTTTTTTTTCTTTTGTTCTTTTTAAAAAATCTTTTAATTTTATAAATTAATAGAAACTATAAAAAGAAAATCTGGCTCAGCGAGACCAGACACGCGCGCAAATACATTTGTAAATAAAAGAAATCCACAAGATGGATTTGGCAAGCATAGTTAATGGCAAGCTTGCCAGAATTCGACAATCTGGGTCGTAAGGTCTGCAAGTAAAAAGCAATAAAACAAAGTCTATCACTGCTGTATAAATAAATGCATAGTCAGAGAATCATCTTTGTGTTCTACATGCAAGATGCGCTGTAAAACGCACAGTAATAGCGGATATTCCAGTTTCTTGCGTCGTTGCATCGAATTTGCATTCGCGTGCCAAAGACATAAAAAACGCAACCTTACGAAATACAAACATTGCTTCTCATAAAAGAAAGAATTGTTGAAGTTAGTAATTAAGTGTGTTAAGTGGTCGTAAAACGGACATAAATACGAAACGTCAAAGTGGCTATTAAAGAAACGAATAATACCCATAATTTTTTCCTACTGCAATTTTACGTAACAATATACTTTTGTACAAATCTCTATTTAATTTTTGTCAAAAGCAGAATTCATTTTAATTTAATAAATATTCTAGAGACGCTTCTTACCACTGCATCTTCCTCGAAGACGACCACCTCCACTTTCGGTGCATCTTCGCCGACTTCGTGTTCTTGTATCCTGTAGATTCCCGCCGCGTGAAGGTACGTTGCACTCAGACCGACCTCTCGGAAGGCTTTCGTTATTAAGACGTCGTCGCGGAGAGTGTCCACCAAGCATAGTTCCACTTTGCGAGCCCAAGGCAGCGCGCGGCCTATACGAACTTGACCCCAAAGACCGCCCAAGCAGAGAAAGTGGACGATGCCCAACTTACTGAGAACCAAATGGGCCCTAGTAAAATTATTGAAAACAGCATATAAGTACGTACATTTCTTAGATTTTTTTTCATTTCAAATATAATCTTGACAATCAGGTCTTAATAAAAATAACATTTTATAATTATGTGTATAGCTTAGTTTAGTGTTCTCTAACATCTTGAATTTAACTGTCTTATATCTTAATTAATTACAAATATTACAAGTACCGACCTGTAAGCAAGGTCATGTAATTTCTCGGTAAATTCTTCGGGCACGCTACACGGCTGCTGAGGAATTTCTTGCCGACTAAGACTGTACCAAAAGAGTACAACCATCAGAAAAAATGCTGCCAGAGCTCGCAAAGGAGTGATGCGGAAGCGTCTCCGTGGACAGAGACTCATGCTGATATCCTGAAAACCAAAGGATATTTATTAATTTTATTCATTAGCTTCACGAAACGCCATAGAAGTCAATCTATAAATAACTGCAATGTGTTGGCTTTGAGCTTGGCTTTAAGCATTTAATTATCACAGAAATCGATAAAATTGTGCCAACTATCAGTCTTTTAAAAAAATGTGTTTATTAAATTGTTTTTTATTCTGGAATTTTTTAATCTTTAAGCCTTTCTTGAATTTTTTAATTTAAAAATCCTTCCATGTAAAATTTTTATAGAATTTAAATTTTGTTTAGCGTAAAAGATTGAGATTTTTCAATTTTCTAAAGCAGTCAATTGTTATACTTTTATTTTTTTAATTTTTACGAAGGTCTTGTATCTTCTCCAAATTGTTAATTCCATGAGAGAAAGAGAGAAAAGGGGAGAAAGAGAGAGAAAGAGAGAGAGAGAGAGAACGTGTACTTGATTGGTAGGTATACATGTTTTTAGATTCTTATATTCTCGAATCGTACATCCGTCTCACCGTTTGTGTAGTTACTTATTGATCAACCAATTTATTCAATTTCAAAAATTCACAGGAAAAACACTCTCGAAGAGCATGCATGACATCAACAATACGTCATTCGGACACTAATCTCACGCAGCCTTGAACACGCGAATGAATCACGAAGCGTAAGCGACACTTGCGTTACGTACTTGCGATTTGCGACGTAGTCATGACCCACGTGTGATCAGACTTCCTTGAATTTCCCTTTTACTTTTTTCTCACCCCCCGAGACGAAAACCATTTTCTCATGAAGACTTCGACACTCAACCCCTGACCAGTTCAACGCGGCAACGTTGCAGACTATTGATTTTTCTTCTCTACCGGCAGTTGCCTCAGAATCTTATCAGGATAGAGATAAGCAGCATCGACGTATAGTAGAGATTGCGAAGTCTCTACTTTATTTATATATAAAAAATACGATGTACAAAAGTAACAGAAATTGACCGCGTACTATCTCTTTCTGCAAATTTAATTGATTAGTTGAAAAAAATAAATATTGATTACGAATTTTTTCACTTTTAATTATGTTTTAAAATTTAATTATATATATTAATCTTGAAGGACAAATCAACTGTCAGTATGCTAGATATAATAATGTCTCTAATAATGTTGTTTCTAGATTCCTGCATTATTGACATTATTCTTCAAGGGTAATAGTGGATAATATTAAAATTTTTTAAATATTAATTTTTGTAATATAGAAGATAATAATTTTTATTAGAAACTTTATTTTCTAATTTTAAAAAATCTTATATTATTATGATTTGATTTTCTATCATATCGAGTTGTGATATAGAAGTAATTCTGATTATGGATGTATAAGCGAGTAGAGCAAGAGTATTGCAAGAGTAGAATATTTTCCAAGGATAAAGAAATTTTAGAAAAATTAAAAATTTTGTTAATTAAAAGAAGCCAAAAGATTTACAAAAATATATTAAATCAAAATAATATATATTCTTTTATATTTCAAGTATCACAAATTTTTTAATTCGTTGCGTCAAAATGTTTTAATTGTAAGATTTTTATTAAATTATACACCGCAATAATAATCTTTTTTTATTTTTCACATCACACAAATTCTTTTTTTTTAAGCAATTCTTTACTTATTCATAAATTTAATTGTGCGATAAACGGATAAATTTCTATTTAAAAAATTTGTATTCGAATTTTTTTAAATCGTGACAACATTGTTATAATGACAGGATTCGTTTAAGGCATAAGAAGTATCTTGCTTGAAATCAAGCAAGTTCCAAGCAAGAACCAGAAGAGATGTGTAGATTATGAAAAAGACGAGAGATAAACGAGCGACGGAAGCGAGACGTGAAATTAACGAGCAAAAATAAACGTTTCCTCGATAATCTCGGTCGCTCGCAGAATTCCCGGTTGGTGTGCGCGTTTCTCCGTTTCTCGCTCTATTTACTTTTTCTTAGAGCTGAATGAGTTATCGTGTCGGAACCCCTCCGAGATATCCTAATGAGCAGAAACGCCAATAAGCCAGTGGGTCGCCAGACTTGAGCAGGGATGGTGTGTTCTTGTGTCTTATTTTTAAACGGGGTGCGTTTCTGTTGACGAATTTGCGGACGCGTCATGTGTCGGCACTGTAAATGGAATACCGAAAGTACCTTCATCAGTGTCTCCTAAGGGTATTTAAAATATAATTAGAGCACCGACCCTTCGACGCAACGTAAGACGATTGATTAAAAACGTCTCGCGATTAAAAACAACAAAGCTCGCAAAAAAATTATAATTTACAATTTATCTGACTCTTAGTACTATGAATCATTTCTCTGACTTTACATTCTACGTGTAAATCTTTCTATATTCAAGAGCATTATCACGTATCGCGAGCAATCACGTTGAAGTGGGCATTAATTGTCACGTCCTGACGGGGTCGGCAGGATGCGAGCTCTCTCGAGAAGAAAGGAGTCCTCTTGAGCGAGGAGGAGGAAAAAGAGAATGAGAAAAAGGAGGAGGACGCGGCAAGAAAAATTGTGCTCGATGTCGTGGAAACGGGCTAAGCCGTAAAACAAACGGTCGGACGTCGCGCCTCTTTCTCCTCGTCTAATTTTGTCTTGTCGCCCCGCTCGCCGGTCCTTCGCCGTGTATTTTCGTAACACGTGTCACCTAAACCTAAGTGCCTTATCTGCGCGCTCTCTGTCAGATCCTGAGGTCAGCTCGCTGTTAGGCCACGTGTTTCGCACCTGAGTTTATTCATATTTATTCGCCTGAACAAAGTACATGAGACAAAAATAAATCTAGTCAAAGAGAGGAGAATAATTTTAGAAATTTGTTTAAAAGTTTAAAAATATTCATGCGTACAGCGCCGGAGTTGCGAGCGCGAGAGAAATGCGTTTCCTCGAATTTCTTAAGACTGCGGTTTCTCGATCGCACTTTTAATTATTAATTATATTGTGTATTGGCAAATCGATTTTTTTATCAATAAACATTCAGTCCAAAAATCCAACAATTTATTTAAACTTTGAGCTACTACAGTCACAGCGAATTCTAGATTTCCTAAATCCTGAATAACGCGAATTTTCGATCCTAGACCTATGCCTTTGTGAAACGAATTTCGATCGCGCTCAGAGCCGAAAATTCGACACGATGATCCCGACATTCCACACAGGACTCGCTCGCTATCGCGAAAACACCGACCGTCTTTGAGGCCCTCCTCGCCGACGACTGCTGCCGAGGGTTTTTACCCTCGTGGAATCCACGAAACGCTTTTACGTACGCGCTGAACCCATTGAAATGCAACTCGCGTTCTCCGATCTGGTCCATCAGCCTTCCATCTTCCCTCCCGCCCACTTCTCATCGGTAGATCGCCCTTCGATAAACCACTAATCTGCTCCCGCTCGACCCTCTCCACCACCTTCTCTACTTGCGATCAATCTTTGCCGTTTTTCTCAGTCGGCTTGTGAATGTATGCGCACCAACATTGCGATAATGATTCACGTCGAAATAAGATGGAAGGAAGAGAAACGGATAGAATGCGGCCAAAATAAGAAATTGGAGAATAATTATGAGATGTAAAATTCAGATAACATCGTTGATTTATAGTTCAATGCGAGTTTAATTAAATGTTACACTGGTAATATATGGATGTAGTTTTCAGCCGCATCTACGATGGAATCTTAGCCTGAAGAGTCAGAAATAGTGTTGTGAAAATATCGCGCGTATTCTTCGAGAGAAGCGATAACGACTCGCCCGCACGTACCATCCCGACGTCACCGTTGACAACGTGAAAGTGAACCATGTGGTCAATGTGTGTTAAACGTCTGCCGCGTAAACGCTTAACGTTTCATCGGAATATATGGACATTCCGCAGTTATTTCGAATACATTTCGAGGGCCGTTTTTAAACGACGGTGTAAATCACGCTCGCACTCGACTTGACGCACTTTCGCTCGCAAATTAACGAGCTGCTATGATTGCTTATTTGATTTCTTGAGATTTTTTATTAAAATATTATCATCTTTATATATATATATATATAAATGAATACATAGAATTGAATATTATTATCAATATTTTTTAACTGGAAATCTTTGAAAGTATTTTAATTAAAATTATTTATTTTTCATATTCGAATATTTTTGCTGTAAATAAAATTTATATTATTTTTTAAAATTAATATTTGGAATAGGAATTCAGAATTTTTATAAACTCGTTCAAAATTATTTAACTTAAGTACAACAATTACGAGCGAAGATGTGTTGTGTTATATTACGATACCGAATGTCGGCGACCGAATGTGCGACGCTTTTTGCGCGGCGTGTAATGGCGTAGCCAAGAAGTTAATTTATGGAAAACGCATTCTGTGATGTGTCGTGCGGATCGAGGAATCCGAAGAAGGAGACAGACCGCACTGTCCACGTGTTGTCCGTCGCGTAAACCGTGACGATATTAGTCGGCTTCTTCGACGGCTGGCAGTCACCTGCTCGATCGGAAGGGCGTTTCGTGTTTGGTGACTGCGGAACTGGAACTGTCAACAAGTATACATCGTCGAGACCGACGAGTGACGGTAATCTATGCGTACGAATGGTCGCGTCACCGAGAACACCTGTACATTTGGCCGACGACGAGTACAGAGTATATCGAACGCGAGGAACCGATTACACACATAAACGAAATGCACATACATACATCTGTATACCTTTTAATGACATCGAACTTATGTCAAGATCACTAATTTCTTCTGAATTACTTATTTTTTACGAGCAATCAGATAAGAGATATTTATATAACGCAGTCGTGCCACATCTTGCAGAAAAACACAAGTCAAGATAAAAGAATAAAGAAAGATAAAAGATATATATTGAAACTTTTCTATCTTCTGAAAAATAAATGTAAACATTTCGATATCTACGAACTTACCTAAGATCGAAAAATATTCTTTACTCTTCTTGGAAAGATTCGCGATTCTTCTATTAGTCTTCGAAGAAGTGATCTAAGATATTTAAAAGAAGAAGCGCAAATTTTCAAAGATATTCACTTGGAGATTCATCTCATTACTACGAAACGAAGAGAGAGAAAGAGACACCGAGGGAGGATAGAACGGAAATGTTCTTGGAAGGGGATGAAAATTTTTATTTGGCGTTTACGAGCCGATTCAGGGCTGCGGAAAGACCCTGCCCCAAGAAAGGACGCTTTAATATCCGCTTATGACGGCTATGTTTCACAGTCTGAGACACCCACTCGGCCCCATTCCGCCCCATCAACCCCCATAGTGCGTTTAATTTACGTGTTTTCGCGAGTTATTCGCCTCCCCGTCCCCCTCCCATCCCTGCGCAGCCCTCGTCGAAGAGGGTCGGTCGCCATGACGACGCCGGGCGTCCCGGCACCCAATCGTAGGGCGCCTACACGGCGTCGACGTCGGCCCTACGAGGACGAGAAGGACGATAATAATTGATGGGGAAGGCAGGGTGCCTCCGGAGAGGTGCGCGGGGGGAATGCGGATGGGTCGGCGGTTTCGAGATGGAGCCGGGGGTTAAATCGACAATCGAAAAGCGCCGTGCTTCGCCCACCACCACTCGGAAGTTCATTGCGGGATAAAAATAAGAGAAAGGATTTGTTGGGAATACACTCGCGCTTTCAGAAAGTCACAAGCTCGGGAAATGCGAGCGCGTGGAAGAAGACGAAGTATTTAAACGACTTGGAAATTTATACCTTTAGATATTTATAATTTGCAAATAGATGTTGAGAAGAATAAAAATCTACGATTTTTATAAAATTCACATTTCTCCAAATATACATGTAACATCCGTAATATAATTTCTGTATAAAATCGAACACAAGTATCAGCATTTGGATTTCTAAACTCTTTCTCTT